CTACATAGGGTAAATACAGCCTTTATTAAGGCATAATTGTGCTCATGAATAGGAGATACGAAGACCGAGATGTAGCTTTTACATTGGTCGCAATCTGTTTTCGCTTTTTTAAGTTGGTTTTGCTTCACACTTGATCAACAGTCCATTGGTCCAAGATTTCATGAAGACTATGCTCTAGAGACTGCAGTATTGGACACGTTTTTCAAGGTATTCCTGTATTATTAGGAATATTTCATTATCGGTTCAAGTATGGATTCCAGAAATGGTGTGCAAATCCTGATGATCACACAGAATAGACTTTTACTTCGCATGCTAAGTTGCTTTGAAGGTGACTACATTGTTTTCTCTTATTAAATATTTCTAAATCCCTGTCCGTATCTAACTTTTTCGTCTTGTTTTCTCTTATTAAAGCTGGCCAGTTGACATTGCTTGTGCTCAAGAGTCTTCTTCCACTAGTCCATGTGGTCCGGACGAACATTTTTCTGTTGCTGTCACAACAGGACACAACCCCGACACTAGCCACAGCCCAGAGGACATAAATAGTCCTGAATCAGCTGTTGTACCTACGAAAATATCTAAGAACAAGGAGGAACTGGACTTATCTCACTCAAGCCAGAACAACTCTGCCATTCAGTTGCACATCAATCAGAGCTATAGACATTCTGGAAGACTTTCGATGGAGCTGGTATGCCGACAATTCGAAGAGAAGCTTGCTAAACTCAGGAAGACATGTAAGTGACTTTTTGGGGCGGAATAAGACATTTTTCAGGTTTTATTGATGACTCTGCTGGTGTTTAGGCTGGACTTCAAGGAACTCTTGTTAGGCTCATTAACTTTTGCTGATTTTAGACTAAAAATTGTTTGTGATGGCACTCCTAATTTAAAATTGCTGAGCATACCTACATTTTGATTTAGTATGTAATGCAAAGATTTGTAGGTCGATCTTTCCAGATGAGCAAAGCGGATTCCTATTGACCAGGTCTGTGTGAAAACATGCTAAGCTTTCGTCTCTATTACCACTTGACAAATATGATCAAATATGAATGTCATTCTTACTACCACTGAAGGGTAGAGCTTAAAATACTCAATGGCTTATTTCCACATATTGTATGCACCATATGATTTTTTGTGAGGTATAGTGATTTGGTTGATGCATGTCATATGTCAGCCTATTACCTTGTGCTCATGCCCGTATGTGTTATTGTATGTGTGTGCGTGTGTGTGTGTGGACGTTAGGGTACAAAACAGCCCATCATCATTAATGACATTTTTTCAATCACCACCCTGATTGCGCAATGCTTGACACGTGTATAGTGAAGTGATGATCGTTTTCATGTGTAATATTCTTACTGTGTGACTGTTGTTACAAGCATAACATAAAGTGCTAGCCAAATCACTTCCTTTCTATATGCTGCCCAACGTCCTCTATCCTTATGTCTATCAATTAAGCGTAAGTGATTCTTAGTCGGCATTGTATTTGCATTTCTAATATCCAATGTAGTTCATAATTTTAAGACTAGCAGCAGATAGGCTAGTAGAAAGAAAGCCTGAGACCTGTGTCTCATGAATGTGCTCATATCTACTTTCTGTCGTTGAACCCAACAGTCTCTAATAGTACTTATTTTTCAGATTGCCCATCTTGATGGGGGATGGCCCTCTTTAAAATTCTGTTTACCGCTTAACAGCATTATTTTATGGCGTTGACATTGAAGAATGCGTCACATTTCCCCTTAAAACCGTTTTATTCCCCAATTTCTTCCAAGTTTGATCATAGTTTCAGATAAAAGTTACTTTGTCCAAGACTGGACATGTTAACGGGTCTCTGGTTCCAAATTTCTCCTCAAATACTCTCATCCAGATTATTATGCCCTGTTAATATGGTGTTATTGTCTATCAGGTCTAGAAGATGATTATTCTTGAGCAGTAATTGTCCAAGATATGAAGACAAAGATGATTTAGTTTTCTGTTTGGTCGCAGTCTTCTTTAGCTTTATAGTATTGGTCCGACCTTGTTTTCGCAATTTGGTCGTAGCGTCATGGAGACCTTGTGGAACGCACCTAGTCCCGTGTCCTCTGCCATAGTATTCGTGATTTCCAGCATTGGACCATTGGCTGGGTACAAACCCAGACGTTTAGTCGGCACCTCTTACTGGCGATGCCGACTACGATGACTGTAAAACGTTTGGGAATGTACCCAGCCAAGGGTCCAATGCTGGAAATCACGAATACTATGGCAGAGGACACGGGATTAGATACGTCCCACAAGGTCTCCATGACACTCCGACCAAGTTGCGAAAATAAGGTTGAACTAACAATAATTGTCCAAGCCTATCTAACTTGTTAGGCAAAAGGCCTCTATCCGCTAAATTTATACTTGTAATAATAAATTATTTTTGCTCATTTTAGTATAATTATTGCCTTTTTATATTTTATTATGCATGAGGATTGAGCGCATGCGACTTTTCTCCATAGCCCATCGGAGCACAAAAGGGGTTTGCTTTCGAGCAGCCATCGTTTTACTCGATCAAATTTGTGCTGGATGTAGAATTCTCTAGCCTTTCGTTCTTTAAGGTGGTCTTGAGCAAGATTAAAATGCCGCCTAGAGCTTGATCATTGGAGATGTACTGAAGGAGGCCATGACAGCTCTAAAAATTATGGCACCCGCGTGAACAGAGAGCTTTGAACGACTCAGAGGAAAATATCATTTTCTAGCGATATCGTGGATATCTGGACAATAATCTTCAGCCACAACATTTAATGTAACACAAGTCTGGTCACTCCCGAAAAAAACACCAATCTAAAGGTTTGGAGCAAATATTCCATGGATCGGCAAGTGAACATTTTCCAAGGAAGCTATGGATTGTTACACCCAAAAAGCTCCGGCAAAATGTAATCACCGTTACAAAAAGTGGGTTACTCTTACGTTCCGGATAGGCCAATCGATTAAG